CAGACAAATTAGTTTTTCTGAGTTAAAGCAGGAATTTTCTTCAAGGAAATCAGTAAGTCCCTTTCTTAAAAGAGTTCATTTGTACTATCAAGTAAAGGAGCCACAGTTACAGTAGGTACCAGTCAACTATCCTAAGCTTTATTAGGATGGCTGAAGGGGATGAAAAAAAGAGTGGAAACAATGGAAAAAGTGATTTGTCATCATATGCATTTTAGTCTAGTGTTGATAAATTCTATTCTTAGGACATAAGACATTTCCAAGTAATAGGAAGGTACTAGAATATGAGATTATAAATCTCATTTAAAGGCTATTAAAACAGATTCTCCATGTTGTTAACCTTTGTGTTACACTGTGCATTAAATGAGATTAAATGAATTTTGTTGAGTAAATGAAAATATACATTATAAGAAAGTGAAAAAAATTAGTCATTTTCCTAAAGAAAAGTATGCTAATTTTTCTCACAAAAGAATTTGCTAAACAGTAACTTATTTTCTTCTGATTGTTATTTATTCATTCAATTTCTGTTTAATAAGAAGCATTCACTTAATCATACAGGATTTAAGACCATATTTTTCTTGTGTCAATTAGTGTTTTTTTAAATTTACTTTTCACTGTGAAACAATGATTATCTATTCAAAGTGCCAAAAAGCTTTAAAGACAAATACAGAAAGTTACATAGTTGAAGAATATAACCTTTAGATCTTATAAATAGATGACTTAGTTTTTTCTGAACAAAGATCTTAATAAAGACAACATGAAACACTAGAAATTATTCTGATAAAATACAACTTAAACCTAAAGATAAATAAAAGCCTTACATTATTTCAAAATAAGGGAAGAGGCTAATATTACAAGAAAACCTTGTTGCTATAACAGAAAGCACCATATTCTAATTTTACTTCTGCGTACTTTAATAACCTTCTTTTTCATTTGCATTAAAAAATGAGGATTTTATGATTTTTAATGTTTTAATCCTTTCATAATCCTTTCAAAAGTAGACATTATGTACATAGATAATATTTTTTCTTGAAAACAGATTTTTTAAAACTTTTATTTATAAACACAAATTTTGAAAGTACAACTTTTGGATTATAGCAGCTTTTTCCTCCCATAACCACCTTCCCACCCACAAACCATCCCATCTCCTACTCCCTCTCCATCCCGTTCTTCATTAAGATTCATTTTTAATTATCTTTATATACAGAAGATCAACTTAGTATATACTAAGTAAAGACTTCAACAGATTGCACCCACACAGACAAAGTATAAAGTACTGTTTGAATACTAGTTTTACCATTACTTTACATAGTACAACACATTAAGAACAGAGATCCTACATGGGGAGTAAGTGCACAGTGACTCACGTTGTTGATTTAACAATTGACACTCTTTATTTATGGTGTCAGTAATCACTGGAGGCTCTTGTCATGAGTTGCCAAGGCTGTGGAAGCCTCTTGAGTTCACAAACTCTGACCTTATTTAGACAAGACCATAGTCAAAGTGGAATTTCTCTCCTCCCTTCAGAGAAAGGTACCTCCTTCTTTGATGGCCCGTTCTTTCCGCTGGGATCTCACTCACATAGATGTTTGATTTAGGTCATTTTTTTGCCACAATGTCTTGGCTTTCCATGCCTGAGAAACTCTCATGGACTTTTGAGCCAGATCTGAAGCCTTAAGGGCTGATTCTGAGGCCAGAGTGCTTGAAAACAGATGTTAATATCACAGAGTAAGAAATTCATGACAATGATGTACTGTGAGGAAAGACTATATTGTCATTTACATGGTATGATCCCGTGAAGCAATATTTATAATTAAATATCAAATTATATGTTTTCAATTAATTTTTATCTTAGCAGATAATAGCTTTCTCATAAATTGTATGTTTCACTGAGATGAAAAGTGAAATAAAAATAAAATTAAAGCGCAGTTTTATTTTTCTTTTATTTTCTTTTTTGGTTATTAATCTTTATTTTCCAGGTAATAAATGAGGAAATTTGTACTGTTTTTTGGGGGAATTTAAATTGTATAAGGATGAAGATCATGTACTTTTTACATTTTTTACACTTCTTTGAATACAGTGTGGGGAAACTGTAAATTTCAACAGCAAAAAACTTTCCATCTTTTTCTTTGTAAAAAGTGATCATTTTGGCTTAGAATATTTTATTGTTGTTTATTAGAGAAATTTGGGAATATTATTTGATAGTGTTTATCTGTGATTGAAATCTTTGGTCTCTTATAAGTTAAATGTTATATTGTTTGTTCTCTATTGGAAAATTGATGTCATTGTTAAATATGTGTAAGAGCAATATTTAACATTCTATTAAATTTCCTAAGAAAATAATTGCAAAAAATCTATTATGGAGATTCACATACTGAGAAATGTCTGTTTTTCTTCATTACCTTGAAGTCAAAATCATTGATAATTAATGTGTTTATGTACCCACATAGAAGTAATAAGTTGTTCACATTAATTGAAGTTTCTATTAGATTTAACTTAATCACCAAGAACAGTATTTTTTGCAATTCTGAAGCCTCTAAATCACACAGAATCCTGTAAATCAAGGTAAAGGTCTCAAATTGAGAAGAAGTTATTCTTGGCCCTAATTAGATTATAGTGCAATAAAACCAATAGTATATCAAGCTTTGAAATCTAGAGTTTTCCTCAAGTAATTTCACTTTCATTTATTAATTTTCAGTGAATTATTCATTTCTTCAGAGCTCACCTTTAGAAACTGTTAGCAATAATTATATCTAGATTTTTCTCTTCATAGACTTGATCCTACCATTATCACCACCATTACTTAATCGAGATAATTAGTTTAGCTGGAAGAGTTTTAGGACATGATCCCAGAAATTAGAATGAATTTATGAAATAGTTCCAAAAAAAGGAAGCTCTTGTCATATTCACTATGTAAATCAGAGATTACTCGTGTGATTATGAGTATTCCATGACTGCAGATAGCATTTTTTTGTTTGCTAGTTTTCTAATGCATAATTACTAGCAGCAAATACTCTCATTAAAACTGCTATTGTCAAAGTGTGTGTTTTTTTTTTTAAAGATTTATTTATTTGAAAGACAGAGTTACAGAGAGAGGGAGAGACAGACAGAGAGGTCTTCCATCCGTGGTTCACTCCCGAGGTGGCCTCAATGGCTGGAGCTGTGCCAATCCGAAGCCAGGAGCCAGGAGCTTCCTCCGGGTCTCTCACATGGGTGCAGGGGCCCAAGGACTTGGGCCATCTTCTACTGCTATCCCGGGCAGTAGAAGCAAAAAGCTGGATTGGAAGTGGAGCAGCTGGGACTCGAACAGGTGCCCGTGTGGGATGCTGGCGCTTCAGCCACAGCGCTGGCCCCCAAAGTATGCTTTCTGAAAAATGGCCTCAGGGCCACTGGAAAATTTGTTAGACACGCCAGTTCTCCCAGTGTACCCTGAAAAAGAAACCAGGAGGAAGGGAGGGGGCCTCTAAGTGATTAAGGTCCATTTTAATGCTTAGGAACCAGTATCCTAAAGTAGGTCCTTGCTTCAGGAATAAGAGTAGGGGAGAACTTTGAAACTCGTATCCTCAGCAAGTCTGTCAAACTCTACCCAAACCATTTTTTATCGCCTTTAAGTTGTTCTTCCATAATACTCTCTAAGTGTTGTGGAAGGGACTAAACCCAAGTTTCCTTTATGTTTTCTCCTTTCTCTGAAGCTGTTGACTCAGAAAAGAGGAGGTGAAGTTAGATGAAAGTGTTAATGGTTTGACTTTGAATGTTCAAAATTCAAAACTTGTTTCCAAGTTAGGAAGGAAAGGATCCTACATTATTCCCTAATTCCTATTTAGTCACTTAAAATAATAAAGATCTCGGAGCTTAGTTTTAAATATTAGTAATATATTGCAGATTATTATATGATTTGTTGCCTTTTTTCAAGTATCTGTTTTGCTGCATATATAACAAAAATACTACCTAGTCATTGTAATAGAACTTTGGTTAGTTAGAGGTATTGTTTAATTTTTTATTGTATGTGCCTTCTGTGTAGAAGAATGTATGCTTATCTAACATATTCTATTTATTTGTTTTTAATGTATCAGAGTCATATTTTGTAATAATAAATATCAGTACATTTAATTCAGAGTAACAGTTACAAACACTACCAATATTGACCTCTGACTATTTACCAGGTACTTTTCTATTCACTGTTATGGAACTTAGCATATTTATTCCTCACTGTGTAGGCACTATAATCATCTTCATTTGGAAGACACAGAAAGCCCTAAGTCATCTTCAGGATTTAGTTCTGATAGAGTTAGGACTCCAATCCAAGCACCTGCTACATCCAACAAAAGATGGATCTGTTACCAAATCGTTTATTTGCCTGAGCAGAAATGGTTTCTTCACTCATTTTTTTTTCTTTTCCATACACTGCTAAATATATTTTCAAAAATGTCAAACATTGGTTAGTTATATAAGGTTATTACCTTAAAATTCAGTGATAAACAATATAAATAATGATGTGGGGAATAATAGTGGAAGTAAATGGGCTTATGAGATGGAAACTATGACTTTGACAAAGCAGTTAAACTGTATTACACTGAATTCCAGTTATTCCTTTATTTCTCCAGCTTTTCTGAGATTACTCTTTGATGGCAAGAGTTAAGTTTGTATCAGGCACTGTAGGTGGTCAAGACCATTTTCTTTTATGAATGGATGGATAGAATGAGAAGGCATTCAGTAATTTATTTTCCTTTTCCTAGACCTGTGAAAGAATCTGTGTCCCTCTAGGGTGGTAAACACCCATTTCCTTTCTACAGTATAGTCATTCTAATTTAGCTAATGTCTTAAATAGCTGTTTGACTGTTATGTGAAACTGTATAGGATATCCCTTCTACATGAAGCTCCTAACTATTCCATTGGCTAGAAACGGGCTTTTATGGTTTTTAAAGATTTTACTTTTAAGTAAAATTTATTTGGCATTTTATATTGAATTATATTTATTAGTCTTTGTGTCTTAATTTCAACAGCATCACTGCAAAACTTGAAAGAGCTTTAGAAAAAGTTGCTCCTCTTCTTCGTGAAATTTTTGTAGACTTTGCCCCATTCCTATCTCGTACACTTCTTGGCAGTCATGGACAAGAGCTATTGATAGAAGGTATGATTTCTCTCTATATTCTCATCATTTTAGTTTCCTATAATGTATCTACTAACCATGGCATAATTTATGCTTCTGGAGGAATATATATTGCCGAAAGAGTATAAAGACATTGCTTCTACAAATTCCAATAAGATATTTGATATATGATTTTTCCTTAATCATCTTTTTAAAAAATAACATGTTCCCAGTCAATGCCAGTAAATGAACTTTGAAAATGAAAATCTTTGAGAAGATATTGGAATGCTTTGGCTGTTCCAACCCCAGTCTATAAGGGCTGATGTATGAATATCATACATCATATACTCTCAGTAGATAGTGTTTACAAACAGTGATCTCTAAGATTTTCTTCTGACTCTGAGAGCCATGCTTCTTTAAGTGACTTTTCTTATTGTTACACTTGTAATGTGAGAATACTTATTTGAGAAAAAATAAAAGTGTTGAAGAATACTTAACTGGGAATTGATAAAGATGTTGTCTACCACTCAATAACAGCTTAAATAGAGTGAAGTGGAAAAAATAAAAATAAATTCATTGTGGCAAGCATTTAATTTATACACTTAATTTGGGGAATGTCTTTGAAAAATATGATGACCTGAAGTCTTTCCTGCTAAAACAAAAAGTTTTGTTACATGACTATTTCTAAGCTTGAGAAAGGAGGAAGTATATCAAGATGATCCTTTAATGGCTTTGGGTGCCCTTTCAGTTAGTCCTCAAATTCAGCACCTTATATACATATTTTGCTTTTTACTTATTAGCTGAAGAAAAAGTTTTCCTGTGCCTGTTCTGTCATTGTCTCAATTGTTTCTACATGATATTTTAACTCAGACTCTGAGAATAGAATTTATCCAAGTTTCTGAGCTCTGTAGCCTTTGTTGTATCTCGGTTTCCTTTCTATAAAATGAAATCAATGACAGCACCCCAGTATCCTTGTGAGAATTCAGTTGAATAAAGCTGTTAGAAAAGTGGTATGTAGTGGGCTATTCATTTTTCAAGAGAATTCCTTCTTTGGGTCACATGCTATATTAGGTACCTGATATATTAGAAAATACCAAAGAACTCTACCTTTATGGTAGAGTAAATAATAGTAATATAAATAGTAATATAATAGTAAATAATCACTAAACAATTAAAACAGCTATGTGACAGGTTAGAAGGTAGTAAATCCCATGTATGAGGGTAAATACCATACAGGGGATTGGGGCTACAGAATGGGAAGCATTAAACTGCAGTTTTAAAGCGGTGGTCAGTTTTCAATAGGCTTCATGGTGTAAGTTAAATTTGATCAAAGACTTAAAGGAGATGAACTATACAGAGTACTGTGTTCTAGGCAGAATATTCTACATAGAATAATCAGTATGTGGGCCATAAACTGGGAGTATAAGAGTATACCTGGCATGTTCAAAGAACAGGGAAGATACCGATGCATGTGGCTGTAGCAGAGTGACCAGAAAGAAAGTGGATGAATATTAGGCCAAGGATATAAAGAGGTGTTTATTTGGCTTTAAATTGAATGGTAGAGAGGGAAGTTATACTTCTGAGAAAAGTGAAGAAACCACCCTAGATAGTACTGTTATATGTGTTATTATTACTTCTACCTACAAAAGGAAGTGGAAAATGTTACAGAGTACAGGACTCTAAGAAGTATACTAATTTACAGCAGCTCAAAAATGAACTTAATAAGTTATTGTAAACTTAACAGCTATTCCTGGGGCACATTCTGTGCCTGTAATTTAAATAGCTTTGTTCTGTATGTTTATCTTTGATGTAGAAAATTGTATATTCATTGATTCAGTTTTGAAAAGGAAATATTTGCATTCATAGTGCTAGGATTTAAAAGGCGTGATAATCACCTTCAAGGGGCTTACAGTATAATGGGCAAGCAAACATAGGAACCAATAATTAAAATTCAATATGTTACATGCTTTAATGAAAGTATAAATGGTGTACAGAGGGAAGTGAGGCTAAGTGGCTTACCATTCACCTTTCAGGGCATACAGCTTTCTAAATGGATGGGTAATGTTGTGTATACTTGATCTTACTCCTGCCTGCTCCTAAACATACTCCTTCATCTCTACAAGGACACAGTTTTGAAAGGGAAGCTTGTTCCTTGCATCTATTTAATTAAAACAGCAGCTCAACTCAGTCTTCTGAATTCCAGATGCTTTCTGAGATAACTAGTATGAACATCTGTATCCAGATATTCCTTTGATACCTCAAATTCAGTTTATCCACAATTTGCTCATTTTTCCATCAAATTATTTTGTCTCCTAAATTGATTTATTTTGTTACTAACTTGCTATTAATACAAACACCTGAGGTAAAAAACTTACTCTTCTAGAAGTCTTTCTGACTCAAGTTCAATGTTTATAATGACTAGGTGAGAATAGTTTCAGCAACTATTAATTTCTGGAGCCTAGTTCTCCAAATACTATTAATATTACAAGTATTATATTGGGGCCGGCTCCGTGGCTCACTTGGTTCGGCTCCGTGGCTCACTTGGCTAATCCTCCGCCTGCGGCGCCGGCATCCTATATGGGTGCTAGGTTCTAGTCCCGGTTGCTCCTCTTCCAGTCCAGCTCTCTGCTGTGGCCCGGGAGGGCAGTGGAGGATGGCCCAAGTGCCTGGGCCCTGCACCCGCCTGGGAGACCAGGAGGAAGCACCTGGCTCCTGGCTTCGGGTTGGCATAGCTCCGGCTATTTGGTGGTGAACCAACGGAAGGAAGACCTTGCTCTCTGTCTCTCTCTCTCACTGTCTAACTCTATCTGTCAAATAAATTTTAAAAAAAGTATTATATAAAGCCAGGTTTTTCTTAAATATTATTTATTTATCTGAGAAGAGGAGAGAGAGAAAAAGGGAGAGGTTTTTTTTTTTTGTTTTTGTTTTTGTTTTTGTTTTTTTTTTATCGCTCCCTAAAAGCCCACAATGACCAGGACAGGGCCAATCCCAGTGCAGGATCCAGGGGTCTGGATCTCCCATGTGGGTAGTAGGAAGCCAATGAATCAAGCAATCACTGCGGCCTCCCAGGATCTGTACTGGCAGGAAGTTGTCAGGAGCCCAAAGAGAGTATCAAATCCAAGTACTCCAATATGGCATGCAAGCGTCTTAACTACTAGGCTTAATGGCTGCTCCCTCAAGCTGTGTTTAAAAATCTTCCAAGGGAGAATAAATATTATGCTAGCCAAGAGTGGGGACATTGTAGTTACAGATTCCCAAGGGTATCAGTTGGTACTTTCTGACTTCTCTTTTAAAAATTTTTTATTTCCTTATATTTATGATACTGAGGAGCAAAAATACTGTTAATTATATTTTATTTTCTTGCATTTCTGTAATGTGTCACTTTAAAGTTTTTTAAAAATAAGCATTATTGATAACAAATGTTAGTTTCCTTAATTCTCTATAAGATAAAAGCCTTTGGTCCTGTAGTTTTGCATGTATTTTCCTAAAATAATTTGACAGATTTACAGTACTGATCAACGTTATAATAAAATAAAAACAGGAAGTAAAGTTAGTAATGTTAGTAATGGGTCATATACTGCTAATTAAAGCTTTCACATGTTTGGACTGGTGTTGAAGCTTGGAGGTAAAGCCACTACCTGCAACACTATCTTCCCATATTGGCACTGGTTCAAGTCCCAGCTGCTACTCTTCCTATCAAACTCCCAGCTAACATACCTTGGAAAGCAGCAAAAAATGGCCCAAGTGGGTCCCTGCACCACACGGGAGACCTGGAATAAGCTCCTGGCCTCTGGCTTCAGTTTGGCCCAGTTGTGGCTGTAGAAGCTATTTGGGAAGTGAACCAACAGATGGAAGTTCTCTCTCTCGCTCACTCTGTGTGTGTGTGTGTGTCTCTCTCTCTGTAACTCTGCCTTTAAAATAAATAAAATGAATCTTTAAAAAAATAACTTTCATATATTCTTCCCTAAATTTTCTCCCTACCAAAGGCAAAATTATGTTATTAAAAAAACTCACATTACCAGTTCCTAAATGACAGTTTGTGATTACCTTAGATTGTAAGGAATTGCTTTCAGATAACTTGTAAACTGCTCTAAGTTGCACATTCAGGATCCCTTTGTGTAGCGTAACTTCCAGAATTTTCTAAGGCCAAATGTCTAGACTATTTCTTACTTATTTCTTCTCATCAGCAGAAAGAGAAGGTAGGAGAAATGGCTGAGTAATTAAGAACTGTTTTTAATAGGCTTTAGTAAGCAAGTTTACATGGAATATTCTGAGTTAAGTTGAAAGAGTATTAAGTATATGACTCCATTGATATTAATCCATAAAGATAAACATGGATTTTCTTGAAAAATGACTGTTGTAGGTGTAAATATTGAAGTGTGTTAGCTATTGTTTATTTATTCTTTCCTCCCTTCCCAGAATACAATTTTATCTTGTATATTCTACATTCAAAGAGTTTTTTTTGTTTGTTTGTTTTTTTGTTTGTTTGTTTGGTTTTTTTTTGACAGGCAGAGTGGACAGTGAGAGAGAGAGACAGAGAAAGGTCTTCCTTTGCCGTTGGTTCACCCTCCAATGGCTGCCGCGGCTGGTGCGCTGCAGCTGGTGTACCACGCTGATCCCATGGCAGGAGCCAGGTGCTTCTCCTGGTCTCCCATGGGGTGCAGGGCACAAGCACTTGGGCCATCCTCCACTGCACTCCCTGGCCACAGCAGAGAGCTGGTCTGGAAGAGGGGCAACCAGGATAGAATCCGGCGCCCCAACTGGGACTAGAACCCAGTGTGCCGGCACCACAAGGCAGAGGATTAGCCTATTGAGCCACGGCGCCGGCCTCATTCAAAGAGTTTTAACATGTGCTGTTTAAAACTATGTGCATGTCATAGTCATGCCTCCTTTTTAAGTTTTGAATTTTGTGTTTAAATACTATTCATTAGCAGAATATAAACCTGACAGTCTTTGAGATTTGGTATTTCAAATTTTTACTAGTTTCTAAAATCTAGAAACTATTAGCTTAAAACAGAATAATTTTCAATAGTTTTCAGAAT